GACCATACTCAGCCATATCAAATGCACACCGACGCATCTGACTTTGCCACCGGGGGAGTACTCATGTAGAATGGGCATCCGATTGCTTACGAGAGTTGAAAGCTCAATGAGACTGAGCGGCGTTACACCGTGCAAGAAAAGGAGATGACAGCCATCATCCATTGCCTTAGAGTGTGGCGACACTACTTACTTGGGTCCAAGTTTGTTACTTTGATAGACAACGTCGCAACAAGCTACTTTCAGACTTAAAAGAAGTTGGGTCCGAAGCAGGCATGATGGCAGGACTTTCTTGCTGAGTTTGATTATGTCTTGGAGTACAAGCCGGGGAAGACAAACGTGGTGGCAAATGCATTGAGCCGCAAGGCCAAGTTGGCGAGCATCAGTCAGGTCACAAGCGCATTGGCTAACAGAATTAAGCAAGGACTCTCGCACGAGCCATTGGCTCGAAATATGACTGCCTTAGTAAGAGAAGGGAAAACCCGGAGGTTTTGGCTGACTGCCGGCTTACTCTACACCAAAGGCAACCGCCTCTATATCCCAAGATGGGACAATCTGAGGAAATAGTTGATCAAGGAGTGTCATGACTCCTTGTCGGCAGGCCATCCAGGTATGAAACATACCCTTGCTCTCTTGAAATCTGCCTACTATTGGCCTGGGATGTAGGATAACATTGAGGGACATATGCGAACGTGCCTTGTTTGCCAGTAAGACAAGGTAGTGCAACAATAACCAGCAAGTTTGTTAGAACCATTACTCGTGCCCAAGAGACCATGGGAGAGTGTCTCAATGGACTTTATCACTTGTTTGCCAAAGTTTGAAGGGTCCGGAAGCATCATAGTCATTGTGGACAGGTTTAGCAAATATGTCACCTTCATCCCCGCATCCACTAATTGAATAGCAGAAGAAATAACCAAGCTTTTCTTTCGCAACATCATCAAGTTATGGGGCATTCCAACGAGCATAGTCAGTGATCGAGATTCTCGGTTCACTGGGAGATTTTGGACAGAGTTATTCAAGATGCTAGGATCAAACCTAGACTTCTCAACCAGCTTTCATCCCCAAACTGGGTGCATCAATGCACTATTAGAGCTATATTTACGGCACTATGTGAGTGCTAGCGAGCAGGATTGGGCAAAACTCCTTGACATAGCCCAATTCTCATTCAACTTGTAGCGGAGCAAGGTAACCAACAAGAGTCCCTTCGAGATCATCATGGGACGACAGCCAAACACACCTTTTTCCCTAGCCACATGCTATGATGGGAAGAGCCTCGCAACCTTCAGGTTAGCCAAGTCATGGCACGAACAAACTGAACTTGCTCGTGCAGCCCTACATAAAGCAGCAAAGAGAATGAAAAAGTGGGCAGACAAGAAAATGAGGCATATTGAGTTCCAAGAAGACGACCTTGTCCTTGTAAAGCTACTGCCCCAACAATTCAAGACACTAAGAAAGGTGCACAAAGGCCTAGTGCGCAAATATGAAGGGCCATTTCCAGTGATACAACGCATCAACAAAGTTTTGTATCGATTCCAACTTCCTCCGAAACTGAAGATACACCCAGTCTTTCATGTAAGCTTGCTAAAGCCATTCCATGAAAACCTGAAGAAGCCATCCTGAGGAGTCTTTTAACGAGCACCAACTGCCGTTGTAACATTCTTTGAGAAGGAGGTTGAAGAAATACTTGCTGATAGAGTCATTCGCTGACGTAGTGTGCCAAATTACCGGGAATACTTTATCAAATGGAAGGGATTTCCCGATGCCGAAGCCAGTTGGGAGACCGAAAACTCATTATGGCAATTCCAAGACTCAATCCTGCGCTATAAGAATAATGCGACGAGGGCATCACAACATTAGGTGTGGGAGAATGTCATGACCAACTTGCTTAGCGACATAAGTACGATGCACGTTGCTTAATGGTTAAGTTAACTTCAAGGTTAAGCAGATTTAGTGGCTAAGTTAACTTCATGACTAAGCATCATCATTCCCAAAGTTGCCACCTAGTGTTACTTAAGGTTTAAGTATACATTGTATCTAGTCAATTCCTTGAGAAGGTTTAGCCTATAAATACGTCACTTCCCTTTGTAAAGTTCATAAGTTGTAATCCTTCAATATAGAGTTTACATTTTCTCTACACTTATCCTTCTCATTTGTATACTATTAGTCTTTGAGTTTGTATGAGTGTTAGGCTGCTTAACACATTTCCGAAGTGTTAAGGCCGCACGAACTTAGCAAAGAAGTTAAGTGCGTGAAATGAAGCTCGTCAAGGAATTCATATCAGACAAATGATACAAATATCACTATACAATCTTAATTTTGTGATCCAAACACCGTAACAAATTCATTTATTATAATTACATCACTTATCACATTAACATGTAATGCTGATAAATCAATTTTGGTATGAAATAAATATTTAAACTATCATTGGGTGACTTGATGGTAACAGAACAAAGGGATCCAACATGAGTTTTTGAGTTTTAGTCTTTCCAAGCATTAATAGGGGTGACCACTGAGGGGATTTACCCGATCGTTCATTTTAAGGCCCTAAAAGATTAGTTAAAGTGTACACAAATTGGCTTTAATACCTCGGTATAATTTTTTTTTTTTTAAATATAGTATTGTTATCAGGTTTTCTCACGATTTAATTAAAGTGTCACAGGAACATGGTCGATTTAAGTCTAGACTCTAGAGCAGAGTTTGACAGAACCATTATGTGCATGGTTGTTAGTATCCTATGATACCCGATACGTATCATACGATACGATTCGATACAAGTCGCCAACGATACGTATTAGAGAGTGTATCCTAAACCATTCGATACGTTGATATGTATCCTACGATACGATACGTATCCGTTCGTATCCTTAAAAATATCGATATAAATCGATACGATTTTATTAATTTGGGTCAAATGTCCAAAAAAAAAAATCGGGTCAAAACCGGGTCACCCAACCCAATTCACTAAAACTTGTCCAAATTTACCTATTTTGCATGGAGAAAGTAAAGAGGAATATNTTTTTTGAAAGAAGAAATTATCAAGAGAAATAAGTAAAAAAATCTATTAACTTCCTATACCCAAACGTCGTGTGACCCTTTGATGTCTTCCTGGGTAAATAAAAGAGATATTAATGAGCCCATGCTCGAAAGTGATGGCATGGGACACCTGAAGCTCGTCAAGGAATTCATATCAGACAAATGATACAATCTTAATTTTGTAATCCAAACACCGTAACAAATTCATTTATTATAATTACATCACTTGTCACGTTAACATGTAATGCTGATAAATCAATTTTGGCATGAAATAAATATCTAAACCATCAGTGTGTGATTTGATAATAAAAGAGTAAAAGAATCAATATAAGTTTTTGAGTTTGAGTTTTCTTAAGTATTAATAGGAGCGGTCACTGAAGGAATTTACCCAATCATTCATTTTAAAGCCCCAAATGATTAGTTAAGTTATACTAAACTGACTTGAACAGTTTGGTATAATTTTTTTAAATAATAAATATAGTATTATTACCAGGTTTTCTCACAAGTTAATTAAAGGAACATGGTCGATTTAAGTCTAGACTCTAGAGCAGAGTTTGACAAAACCATTATGTGGGTCTCGTTCAAGGTCCAAGCCTTGTTTTCTCCGGCCTTGCAGGTCGAAAGTTGATTACTCGGCCTACGAGGCCATGAACACTCGGTCCACTCCTAAACAAACAAGGGATTTCAAAAATTCTATCATGTTGTTTTTCATACAATAATGCTGGACATCGGAACTCTATACCGAATTCTTACACCAAATTACGTATCCTGTGACTTACACCAATTATGTTTCATATTCACAAATATTTTACTAGTAAACGATCGTCTATAATTGATGAACGGCCGTTCACTAACAAAATATTTGTGAATGTAAAACATAGTTGCTATGAATCACAAGATACGTAATTTGATATAAGAATTCGGTGTAGAGTCCTGATGTCCACATCATTATTGTTTTTCATAAGTGGCTAGCTGTTATGGAATGAATTACAGCTTGCTCTGCGTTGAGCCAGACCCTACCATACTTTATTTATTTCGTTGGTGCGTCATCTTTACATCTTTGATTCTTCAAAATTTCCCTCCAACATATTTATTATTATATGTCGGAAAATCTAAAATAGAATTTTCTTATAAGATATCAAATTCACAAGATGGATGAAACGCATTGGAATCAACACAGTTTGACTAGATTGACTGGTCTTAAAATGGCTGAAAGCCACGTATCACTATCCAATTCGAGGGATAAATCTACCTTCAGACAGTTAAGTGCTTGGATAACCTGAATTTGGTCAAAGATGTTACAGCTATGTACATGTGTTATAGGTTACCATTTTAAGGACGGACCACCGTGGTCCATCAACCATATGGTGTTTCTCCACTTGCTGACAGCAGTAGCACGTGACAACATGAGAGATGGGGAGTTAGTTTTAAGAGAAAGCGAAAAACTCAAAGCCTTTTTAACCAGAAAAAGAAATAAAGATAAGGAAAGAACCTTTGCTCCACATTAAAGCAGTTTTGATTCCTGTGCACCCACAACGTGCCTCTCTCTCTCTCTCTCTCTCTCGTGGCTTTCAATGTTCTCGATTTCACTTATACAGACAGCCACTAGCTCCGTCACTGCATGTTCTATTTAAATTGTAGAAATATATACTACAAGTGTAGTGAATTTTCATATTTCATTTTCTATATAATATAGATATATTAATAGTTTATCGACGTACGATCTGACAATATCACCATTAGTGTCTTCCCATGACCCATGCCCCAAAAAAACATCAACCTTTAAAGCATTTAGATATCACCATAGATCCTCTGTATTGAACCTTAGCTATTTGCAATTAGACGTCAGAATCACGGCTCCTCTCTGTTACATGACAAGTATAATTAATAATTTCACTCTCAGTCAAACAAACAAGTGGGCATTACTATACAAACTGCAAACTCATCATCTTTTACCTATAACTTCTGCCTCATTAACATCTTTTTTAGCTGTATTTGCTGTAAATGCAGCTTGGTTTAACCATATTTTTAGATGGGAAAGAAGGGAGGTACTCATGGTTGACCACTGTGAAAAGAGCTTTCAGATCTCCTACTAAAGAGAGTGACAGGAGGAGCTACAGGCAAAGAAGAGAAGAAAATGACCAAGAGGAAGATGATGAGAAGGTTTTTCTTTATGTTAATTTGTTAATAAAATAAATTCTCTTACGTTTCTTGATCTGTTTATCTTCATTCTATGATCTATATATTGATTTTTGTTTTGATGTTTTTGTGCAGAAGAGAGAGAAGAGAAGATGGATTTTTAGGAAAACTATCAATCAAGAAACGGTGACACAGCAAACCCCAAGAAAGGAGACAAGTACTGTTGATGGCACCAGTAGTGGTAACGGTGCTGCGCAGGTTGATCATGCGGCCGTGGCGGCAGCGGAACAAAGGCACGCCATTGCGATGGAAGTGGCCACTGTAGCTACCGCCGAGGCTGCCAGGGCTTCTACTCAGACGGCGGCCGAGGTGGCTCGGTTCATTAGGCCTCCGACTTTTAGTGCCAGAGAAATATATGCTACCATTGTTATTCAAACTGCCTTCAGAGGTTACTTGGTAAGCAAAACTCTAGAAGAAATTAACTGTTTGATTAGCAAGTCTCTTGAACCAAGCCGAACCGTCAAAATAGCTGTATTGAGCTAATTAAAGATGAAGTAGTGGTTTTTTATTTTTATAAATTTTCAACATATTTGATTATCTGTTTGCGTATGATTTGATTAATTTTGTTTAAAGGCAAGGAGAGCACTTCGTGCACTAAAGGGACTGGTAAAGCTGCAAGCACTAGTGAGGGGTCATAATGTGAGAAAGCAAGCTAAGATGACACTACGGTGCATGCAAGTTTTGGTTCGAGTCCAATCTAGGGTGCTTGATCAACGCGTTAGGCTTTCTCTAGAAGGTATCAGAAAATCCACGTTTAGTGACACCAATAGCGTATGGGAAACGCGATATCTTCGAGACATCTCTGATAGAAAACCAACGGTCAGTTTAATTATTAAAGTTTTATTTTTAACCTTTTCAAACTACTTTTTAGAATAATACTTTGCGTATTAATGGATTTTATTAATCACTATAGTAATCTTTGTTAAAATCATACATAATATCTATACTATTTGTTAAAATCATACATAATATCTATACTATGTGTATGATATCCGTACTCTACTTTAAATTGGTAAAATCCGTTAGTAGACACCTTTATGGCTTTTTGTATGCAATTATCACTGGGGAAAGAAGGCAGAGTCAATTATGGACAAAGCAAATTAATGAACGGTTTGGGTTTGTGAAACAATAACTTTCTTAAGCGGACAGCAAATTGAAATTATTTAGTTTCTACTGTGAAGCTTCACGTTACTGATGTGTTTCTTTATTCTTCTTGGGAAACTATTCTTACATGTTTTAATGTTGCAGTCAAGAGAGGGAAGTAGCATTGCAGATGACTGGGATGAAAGGGCACACACAATCGAGGAAGTTAAAGCCATGCTGCAGCAAAGAAAAGAAGCAGCATTGAAACGTGAAAAGACGTTATCTCAAACCTTCTCTCAACAGGTGTGTTTGCCTCTCTCTCATGCATTCTCTCAATTTCCTCTGTTTTTAGTCTACTAATTGATAAGCCAATTGGTACTATTTTGTAAAACGTTTGTCCACATAAAGATGTGGAGAAATGGTAGGAGCTCCTCAATTGGTGACGAAGTTGAGCTAGAAGATAGACCAAAATGGCTTGATCGATGGATGGCTACGAAGCCATGGGAAAGCAAAGCAAGAGCTTCAACGGATCAAAGAGACCCCATTAAAACCGTAGAAATTGACACCTCCCAACCTTATTCATATTTAGCATCTAATTTTAGAAGAACAAGCCAAAATCAATATCATCAACAATACCATCAAAGACCTGCTTCTCCACACCATAGAGCCCACCAAAACACATCCCTTCATCACTCCCTTGTCACACCTTCTCCATCAAAAACCAGGCCCGTTCAAGTCCGGTCTGCAAGCCCTCGTTGTGGTAGAGAAGATAGAAGTTTTAGTACGTCTGAAACACCAAGCTTAAGGTCTAACTACTACTACACTGGCAATGTGCATCAACATGCCAGAGGTGGTTCAAGTAGTGCTACTAATTCTAGTGCAACATTGCCTAATTACATGGCAGCAACTGAGTCTGCTAAGGCTAGAGCTCGTTCTCAAAGTGCACCAAGGCAAAGGCCATCAACACCAGAGAGAGACCGAGTTGGTTCAGTAAAGAAGCGTCTTTCATTTCCAGTACCAGAACCGTATGGTGTAGGAATGGGATATGGAGTTTATGGGCAGAACTTGAGGAGTCCAAGCTTTAAAAGTGTAAGTGGATCACAATTTGGGTTGGAGCAACAGTCTAATTATTCTTCATGTTATACTGAGAGCGTTGGCGGTGAAATTTCTCCTTCTTCTACTAGTGACCTCAGGAGGTGGCTGAGGTAATTTATGGTTAACTAAGTGATTATGACAAAGTGTGAACAACAATAACTTGGTTAGATTTGTATTGCTTGAATATGAGGTTGTGATTTAGAGGTGATTGGGATGTTATGTAGAGGATATTTTGATTTCTGCTCATTATTTTTTATTTGAAGTTGAAGCTCTCCAAATATCATGTCCCAGGAGAATTCTTTTAAGTGTTTAGCAAGTAACTTTGTAATTTTTTTTATCACTCTTTGTTCTACATATGTTGTGCTGATTATCCTTCAACCTGTATGTACAGATCCAACTGCACTTCAAGAAATGGCATGAAATAATGTTATGGTTGGGTGTCATTTCCTTTTTCCCTTGTATATTTTTTTGATTTGCAACTTGCAAACAGCAGCTGCTTATGTAAAAATCAATCAACCATAATAAAAAGCCAATATTTCCTTATCTCTTTCATTTTCAAGAAGTCTATTGGTCTTTCATCTTTAAGCTGTATAAATGGAATCACAATAGTCATGTTGGTCCATGTTCTGACTGATTAAAAGCATCTTTATAGCTTTTTCCTTGTCATAAAAGGTGCAGCCTTGCTCTATGGAAATACGAGCTATAATGTTAACCATGTGATATGTTTTATCTGAGTCTTGTCTGCACTGAAATTTATAATAATCATACAAAGTTATGACCCCATTGGTTTCAACCTTTTTAAAACAAGGGCAATGGCTACTCATAACAAGCTTTATAAGTTGGCAAATGGAAACCCCCCAGAAATTTATCAACTTGACTCGTCCTATCCACAATTTATCACTTGTACAAATTACAATAAGTAGTGACACTGTTAGCAAGAGAAACAACAAAGATGGGACCAACATACTGTTGCACTTAAAAATATGGATAGCTATATTGTATAAGGAGTAGCATAATGTGGCCCATCATTTAATGATCAATTTATCTGAATAGCCTACGCATAAGGCGCGGAGGTCACGCTAGCTCCAGGCTCCACTCCACCCTACACCAAGTCCAAGCATGTGGCAAGACCGCTAAGAGACAGCCTTATCATTCGGTGGTTTTTGTCGAATTTCGTCTTGTCCATTGTGGTTTCTCTGACATGAGAGGTTGCATAAAATGTTTGTGGTTTATACAAATACAACTTTTGTATTCTATATTAAGTTTTTGATATTTCAATTTTTTAATTTTATAAACTTTTTAATATTAAAAGATGAAAATTTCCTTTTCACAGTTTAATGGAAGCTACCGTCGGTTAACTGTATGTCCCTTACAGATTTTTCAGGGATGATTATGTAAATTTCTCCATGTTTTTGATCGACCATATCATAGCAAAAATATCTTTGATAAGAGCATTGAGGATGGGCCAACTATTTTTGGGTGTCTAATGGTAAAAGAATAAAATGAGGTTTCATAAACTTTTGAGTTGAGTCTCTACAAGCCCTAATAAGGGTGGTCAACTTCAGGGCTTATCTGATCATCAACTTTAGGACATTAAAAAATTAATTGAGATTGAGTCTCTACAAGCCCTAATAAGGGTGGTCAATTTTAAGGTTATCTAATCGTCAACTTTAGACATTAAAAAATTAATTAAGGTAAACACAAGCTGGTCAGACACCCAATCACCACAAAAAAAAAAAAAAAAAAAGGGTTGGGCCATGGTCATCCATAAATATCTTTTCATTTTCACTATCAACACAAACTGAGAGTCACGGTTAAACTGGTGTAGAATTACTTGTACTTGACGATATTTCAATTTGTGTCTGGCTATCGGGCCAACACTGCACCTGCAATCAAGAATAAGATCAAAAGTTATGGGCTGTGAGAGAGCCCAGGAAACCTAACACTTCCCTTAATCTGTTCAAATTATTTAATTTAATTTAATGCATCTTATAAACTTGGTTCAATTAATATGTTACCAAATTTAATCAAATACCACCAGCAAAACTTATTCAAGAATGTATATTGAATAAATAATAAAGTCTTCATAAAGCTTCTATCGAAAGATTGAAATTTAACATTCATATTTTATAATTAATAATGAATTTATATAAAGATGGGTTGAGAATAAACTAAATTTCTTGTAGAAAATATATTAATTACTGCGGAGAAGAGAAGATATTTTGAATTTCAAGTACCAAACAATGAAGTAATTGACTGCAAGTTGATGTCGGTCCACCTACTATCATCAACCCTTTTCCGCTAGGTTCCTTTCGTTGTTGGGCAGATATGATTGGTTTCCTAAAATCAACAATCAACGTCTAAGATAGTACTAACGAGAAACTTCAGTTTTCACTTACGTTTATGAAACTAGTAATATCTTATCTCCGTAATGTATTTACTAACCTACCAACTTAGATGGCAATACCATTTTACATTTTTACTTTCTATCTCGTAATTTTCTTGGCAACTTGAGTATAAAGATAACTGGGAAAAACTTCACTAAGACACATTCTCTATCTCTCTAACACATTTGCCAGGGACTATATGAATCTGATTGCACCCTTGTTGCTTCACAATTTGACCTCCACCCATACGTAGTTAGGGGATTGATTCAATAAAAAATGAATTTAATTTCAATTGAATTCTATTAATTCACATATTGATGCATCCCATTTTAATAACTCCTACACAAAAAGTTTATATATTAGATTGGATTGAAAGATCTTCAAACCTATTCAACATTAGATTGATTAGTTATTAGTCAAATTTATTGAATCCAAATCTAGCAAATATTTTAAATTCCGTATCTCAGATGATTTAATTGAATAACACGACACTGTAAATCTTAAAGAAGACAGTTATACATTGATGTCAAATTTAAGTTGTGATAGATTGATGTCAAATTTAAGTTTATAAAATTGTTGAATTCGAGGACCTAACCTCCGTTTATAACTAAAATCACAACCATCTCCAACAGTGTTGGATCTGGTCTTGGTAGCCCCAAAAAGCAATTGGGAGTTGGGTCCAAAGAAACCAGAACTATATTTAGCAAAGAATATCCAAAAATCTTTCGAGAAGTTTGACCTAAAGCATTAAAGAATATGTTTGAGATTTGTTTTCAAAAGTTTCTAAATGTTCTTTAACAAAAAAGAACTAGGATTATATTGCTTGTATAATTAATCACAACAATCCATCATAATAGATATGGATGGATCTGTACTCATAAATCTACATTTAAACTCTTATATAAAGGTAATTTGTCTTAGGTTATTTTCATATTTTAAACATTACTTTGAATTAAGAGCAATATAATAGAGTTTTTCTCTCCATCTCCATCTCCATCTCCATTCTTTGTATTCTTATTTTTCTTTGAGAATTTGTGGATTCTTTTTTTTCTTATTCTTCGAGACTTTGTGGTTTATTTAATTTTTGATCTCTTGTTTGTGCAATAAAATTGTCACACGTTTTTTTTAGGATTGTGACACTTGGTAACCCCAAAAAGGGAGTTGTGTCCAAAGAATCAAAAACTATATTTAACAAAAGAAAACTTTATTCAAGGTGTGAATGTGGCATATAAAATTTTTATTTGAATCATCTTGCGTTACGTTATGAATATATTGACTAAAAAGGGATAATGAATTAGACTTCCTTATCACAAATGACAAATTACCTTAACACATATCCAATGAAGATATACACGAATAAAAAACCAACTGGCCTGTCTGAACTTTGAACAACATGCGTATTTCACAATGGGGCCGGGTAGAATAGAAAACCAAGCACTTTTTAATAAAATTAAACAATAAATTAAAAATATTTGAATTAACTATGATGTATCAGAGTCAGACGGTCATTTCAAAGATCATAAACCAGGTATTAATATAGCCTTTCAAAAAAGTACTGAAGAACACGTAAATAATGTTTACTGTTTTAGTTGTGTATTATTTTGAAAACAAAAGTCTGGACCCTCGTTTTTGTCCATGTAAAGGATGGTCTAGTAAGAAGACAAAATTCAAGGACAAAAGCTATAGTTAATTTGTCATAGATGCCAGTGCTGATCCAATGACTTTCTATGATTTTGGTAACCTTATCATCATGACATTAAACGAGTAATTTCCAAGCAATGCTTCGCTGGCAATCATTTTATCAATAATTTTGTGAAACCTATTTTAATGAACTCAATGGTTGTGAAGGTTTTTAGGCCTTAATTATTCTTTAATTCTCTTATTTGAAATTCCCCCATGGAAATTTTAAACCTTCACCTGAAATTTGGATATATAGTAACAAAAGATTGAAAGTTTGATGTCTAAGTGAACTTGATATAATTAGATGGCACGATTGACTTCAAGCACTTCCTTGGCAATGTGTTTTTTTAAATTTATAGATAAAATTGATGACTTGGATCGCATTTACTAAAATGGAGATCAACATGAAGTCAACTCAATAAATCTTGTCTCCTTGCTTCACATTGTACTAATCCGCCTGACAGCTAAACCAAAATGTATCAATATTGTTTCTTCATGCTTGTTGGCTGAAACAAAATTACATCATGTCTTATGTATACTTCTCCACCTTCAATTTCTAGAACAACGTATCCCAAGCTCAAGCCAAACCATATACGGTGAAACATCATAAACATTATTTATATGTACGAGAGATGGACAGAGCAACCCTTATAAGGGCAACACCTTTGCTATTTAGAAAAGCCGAGGAAACGAATATTTTACGCTTGAAAATAAAATAATTATCTATTTGCAACTGGATCAGCAAGATTCAAGACGTGGGAAGAGATTATTAAGCAGAATTAGTCAAAAAAGACGATTAGGAAGAGAAAAGAATAGGTCAAATAAGAAAATTACGAACAATGTCAGATGACAAAATATAAAACTGATTGCATTTCAAATATATCTATCTTGCTGTTGAGTTATTCCGTTTACGTAAGGATAAGTTTATGGTATTAATTTTTTATCTTCATCATATAATTATATATACTCGGAATTAATATATTTTATACATAATTTTTTATTGCATCCTCAGTATTTGACTAGTAATTTTCTGCCATCACAGAAATACGATGCAATGCTTACCTAATTCATTGGCAGGTTATAGCAAATAGTTTACCGGAAGGATATAGCTACAGTATCTAGAGTCTGAGATATTATTAAATAATACTACATCAACAATCTTCTTTCACAAAATTTTTTCTCACAATCTTGACGTTGGAGTTCGTAATTAATTAATAGGACTCATATATGACCTGTATAGGATTCGTTGTAAACTGATCAATTGTAAGCTGTCACATCAGAGTTGTGAGAGAGGATTATTGGTGTAGTATTATTTGTTTTCTCTCTCTCTCTATATATATAGACACACACATAAGTCTTAGCC